ATATATATATATATACATATATATATCTCTCCGTGAAAGAAAATGTGTTCTGAATAAATGTCCGATTATTCAAGCACAGTCTCATTTTGTAACATTGATAATAGTTTTCGAAAGTTGGAGTAATTTCATGCAATTTTCTATTTCGACATTTAATATTATTAGAACAATTAAAAATATTTTCTTCCTGCGTATACACGATTGGAAACTGCTCGAATTTCCGAAAACTGTTCATTATTAAATTTTGTAAATACTACAAATAATTCTTTTCGAATGATGGACTATTGTGAGTTTTACTTGTATTATACAAAAGCAATATATAGTTGAATTGAACTTTTAAAATTAACGTAATAAATGTGGATGTCGTTCACATACAACTTGTCGCATCACTATTTTCACTTGTCTACATTTATTTTAAAAGTACTTGTTTGTTTTACATTAAGCGGATAATTAAAACACATTGTGTCATAGTGAAGGTTCGAGATGATCATAAGTCCTCAATGTACTATAATAGATCAGGTGATCTAGGAATCGTAAATCAACCTTTATTTCAACATAATTATTTATTTTCTTAACTCTACTTGATCAAACAATATATAACACTATGTATGTAATAACAAATAATCGATACGACTGTATTGTATTGGCACAAGATAATAATTAAAATGATTGAAGCCTGAAATATACTAGAGCCCGTTGCTTCGGTAAATTCAATATTAGAAATTTGCTTTTAAATGTTAATAAATAACCGACTGAATGTTTTCCATTATTTACTGTATTATTTTATAAATTATTGAGATTTCTCACACGTGTGTTTCTAAAAAAAAAAGTGCTATGTTTTGATCGTACACGATTGTTTAAAAAAGAGAAGAGCTTATGAATTTTCATTTTACTATTGAATAAATCGAATTTATGATACATCTGTTATTTACACGGAAGAAAATCGAAAATCAAGAAATGCGAGTGATGAACTCAAACTTTTTTTTTTCACTGAAAAAACGTGAACCAAAAGTTTTTTAATTCGTAAGTATGTATATCATAAATCCTCTTGTTTATTGATCAGACGTATATATACTTTTGAGATTAATGAGATTTATGCGTTACTGAGTAACATTTAAGAAATATATCAAGACGACTAATTTATTAAAGATTATTTAGTAACATCTTCATTCGTTTGAATGAATGATTTTTATTCATTTAACTTCAATTTAATTTAATAATATTTTCTTCCCCTAAAAATATGAAAGATAAAAATAAGTTACTTAAATTTTTGCAGCTTGTTTTCAGTAACTTTAATATCAATTGACTATGATGTACAAATATTACAGTCAATGGAAAATTACTAAATACACAAGTATTGATAAAAACTCCGATTCTATTAGGAAAAATTAAATAATTGTATATACATATTGCATATAATTGTATGAACATATTCAGACATGTAATTATTATAAGATTCATATAAATATATGCTACTAAATTCTCAAGTAAACGTGCATTAACAGAATTTCAAACTTGATTCATTTAATACAAACTCCATGTGAAAATTAGCGTTTGTAATTACTTGTAATTAATGCAATGTTATAACATTGAATACATAATACATCTATGCAATTACCGTACTTGAATTTAGTACAATGATAACACGATAGTTCGCGCCAATGATTGGTAACGCTTTAGGTAGTATTTCTGTATCTTAAAAGTGGGGAGGACTTGTGAACTTATATAAAACAATTACTTATCGCATAGTGAACTTTGTGAATTGTGTTCGTTTGCGATTCAATCTTCTAGGTTACACGTATGTTACATATTGTTTATTAATCGAGACTATTGCAGCTGTGCAGCATCCCAACTGGCTGAAATAGTGAGCATAAAATTCACGTAAAATTTCGACGGGGACCAGTTTTTCTTTTTAATGATTCTATTTATACTTAAGTTTGCAAATCGAATATAAAGAAACTCCGTCGTTTTCCGTAAATTACGCCGTATAGCACGATAGTAGTAGCAGATCGTTTTTACACGACTCTGTATGTTTACATTTTGCCTGAAGTATAATCCGTGTTGAACGAAAAAAATTCTTTTCTATTCCCAAAGAAACTGAAAGACCAAGCATGTCTGCATCACCGATTGCAAGGCAAACCACTCAAAGCCAAAACATACCTTCGAAACGAGTTGTTATTAACGATCCCAGTCAGTTGCCTATTGACTATTCATCCACCCCTGGTGGAACGCTTTTTTCAACTACGCCCGGAGGTTAGTATTTTTCTTCTTCCGAGCTATTGTTTTAATGTCTTTGTATCCATGTTGCTATTAACTCATTAAGCAACATTTATCGTATAGTTGTGAGTACTTTAATTTCATGAAATTGTAAAATTTAAGATGGCGAGAATTTTTCATAAATAAAAAAAGAAAAAAATTGTTTTCTCTGTAAGCGAAGATATTTTTGAAACGCACATTACCGATGTCGATGAGATAATAAATTGTTAAATAGAGAAGGTATCATGTAGAGATGAATCCTTGAATCTTAAAAAGATCTTTTAAAAAATTAAGTTAATAAAAAATATCAATGTCTCAGTGATTTCGATTAAATATAACCATTATAGACGATGAACATTATTTTGGTTGTTGATAATTATTATTGGCAACAATTTTTTTTTTAATAGTAGCAAGCAATTTGGTTACCTTTAACTATTGTCAATTTTTAATGATATCAAGTAATAATTAACGTCTATATATGCAGTACTCAATTGCAAAATCGATCAAACATTTAACCGATGATCGACAATAATAAAAAAACAAATTATTTGTCATCATTTTAATATTACTAGTGACTAAAAAATTTTTATCTGTGGTTACTGGTAAACATAATCACTTAAATCAAGATACTAATTCTTAACTAGACATTTTTAATAATTATAATCCTTAATGTAAATTTTTTTTCTAGTAATAATTGATTCATCGATCAACAGGGAATTATTTTTTAATAACACATTTTACATAAAGTTATGTGTAAAATTATAATATATACACGTGTATATAATTTTGTTAAACGTTAAATTATGTAAACTTTATGATCGTTCTAATAGTTGTCATTTTTGTAAAATATCTTATAAGTAATTTGTACTCGTTTATTATATTAATTATTATGTTCTAGTAACATTTTAGGGTTTTACTTCACACGTTTCTAAAAGATTGGTAGCTTCTGTTCTGATTCAATACATATGTTATTGCAATTAAATTTCAGTCCCTGTTATTAATTAAATTTGCTTGTGATAAACTAAAGATAATTCTTAAAAGATAAATTATTTATTAATAAAATTAAAGAAAAAATTGTTCTTAGGTACGCGTATCGTATATGAGCGTGATTTCTTGATGAATTTACGAAATTCTCCAATATCGCGAACACCGCCACGAAATATGCCATCCATACCAGGAGAATTATTAAAAAATACACTGCAAAATTTTTCAACATCGACGAAGAATCAAATTAATAAAGGTACTTACTTTTGTTCAGTTATTGATCTATATGAAATGTATTTTCACATAAAATTTTAATCCCATTTTTAATTTAATTACTTCATTAGATCAGTCTAATGTATGATGCTAATATTTTTGATTAATATGTTATAGATACTCCGGTAATTGAAGAATCTGCAGAACAATTTGAGATGGACATGTAAGAAATTGTGATTACAATATACATTTACGATATATTCATGTTGTGCCAGCCATTATAATGAATGTTAACAATATATCATCTTTATATAAGTGCATATCATCAGGGGCCTTATAAACGTAATAAGTTTATATAACATTCGGTAATATTCAGTGTAATTGATATAGCTATATTGATTCATTGCATTATCATCTTGTATGATTAATAAAGGTAAGAAAAAATTTAAATCAGCACATTTACACTATTGAACATATTACTTTATAATATTTGTACTAGAATGAATAAATGATATTTTGATAATAAATTTTGACCATTTTGTTATTCGTAAATCATAGTGATAAGATTAGGGAAGTATTTCAATTTATAGGGATTTCTTCATTTTACGTAAATTAAGTAATTGATTTTTATCTTAGTACTAAGATAAATAAGAAATAAAAAATTTTCAGTTTTAAATAATTATTTTATTTAAAAAAAAAGCAAAATTACAAAATTTAATATATTATACATTTATTCTTTAATTAAAATTTTTATTTAACTTTTAAAAGACTAACATTTTTTTTATAAAATTAGTAGTATTTTTTTAAAATTTATTACAATACATTTGTAAGATTTGTATAGAACCTCAAAAAAGAGGTTTAAAAATAGATTTATAAAAAGATTTTAACATAGTAAATAATGAAATCTCAATAATGAAAAAGATTTTACATTTTCAATCACATTTGTCAAAATTGGTGCAACATTTGTACAACTATCATACTTGTATCAAGTTAAGTTAATATTATTCTATAACAATATTTGTTATGTTATTAAAGTTTTCTGAATTCATATTCTGAATTTGGGACAATCTACTTAAGATAACTTTTGCCACGTTAACTTTAATTCCATTATTGTCATAATCATTGTAATAAATTAATTCGCACAGATCTGCACATTCTGTGTCATTACTTATTAATTCCCTTAATTTTTCATAAAATTTCTTTATGATTTCTTTGCCATATTTTTTGTAAACATACGTTTCATTGTGAGCATGTTTTTGAACTTCATGGAAAGTTAATAGAGGTGTTGCTCCTTCCACCACTATGTACAAAGGTGTGGTCTTTAGTCTTTGACCATTTGGATAAATTTTATATATGGTATTATGATACATTCTTCTTTTAATACCAGCTCGATTGCGCTCTTCTTTCTCTAAATTCATTGCACCTTCCATCCATTGATACGAAGCTTCTTTCAAATCTGGTGGAATATATGATGAAGAAGGAATCAAAATGAATAACTTATGAACACTTATTTTTATATTATGATTGTCCTCAATATTTTCTATCTTTTCGATAAGTCCTTTGTTCAGAGAGCCTGTTGAAGGAAGTACTATCCTTAAATATCCGTAATAATAACTGTAGGCCATTGCACATCCATAGTCTAAACCTTGCATCGAATTAATATTCAATGTGTTTTCTTGTTTTATTCTATCCAAGTGTGCAACCTTTGACAATACAAATGAAATTATTACGCACAGGGTACACAAGATTACATTGCACTTTTGTAGGCTGTTATAATCATATTTATATTTATATATAGTCATTAGGATAAAAATTATTATTAAAATAATGTTATAAATTAACGTCACATCAAATTTCAAGTCACTGCTCTTTGTGATTACAGTATCAAAACTGAGAATGTACTGAATTAAGGCAGTTATAATCTCAAAAATTACGAAATAAAACAGTATAACAAAGACGTAATTTTGCGGAGTGAGCGTGTCCTTTTTTATTACTTCGAAGTAATAAAACATCTCGACAACCACAATATAGAAAATAATGCAGCTGATTAGAAATAATTTTGTAACTTCGTCCATATTAAAATTCTTGACACTTGCCTTTTCAACTTCTCAACAGAAGGTAATACTTGTAACAAATCAGGAAAGTTCTAGTTGTTCATTTTATCTGCTGTAAAAAAAGGAGAGAACAGCAAATTTAAAAATTTCTTATCGAGCAAAATGAACGAATTTAAAATGTATCGCGTGTAAACGTAAACGTACTGGTGAAAGAGGGGAACGAGACGAACAGAGACGAAGGGGGCGAAAGAGGATGAGAAAGATAGTTCGCGTATCGGCGGGTCAGAGCGCTGTTAACGTAAGTGAAACAAGTCGATTGCCCCGCGGTACAATCGAAACCATGCACGATCGATAAAGCCTATAATCCGTGAAGCGTTCTCTGCGAGAAAAAAAAAAAGAATTACTCGGACGACGCGCTGCCCCATGCGTATTTGTTTCCCCGTGCGAGGACGCGAGCGGAAACGTGTAAGTCGGCCGCGAGTGCATCGGCGGGACGAAATATCCTGGCAGGTGATCTCTGCATGCTGATTAGCGCCATATCCTACAATGGACCAATCAGCTGCTTGGTAAACCGCCGTGAAACCTCGAATCTGTCCGCAGACGAATGACAACAAAAGAGACTGATAGAAGTCGCGCGCGCGAGACAGTGGATTTTTTTCGCGACTCCACCGTGAAGATTTGCGGTTTTTTCCATTTTGTTGCCCGCCGCGAGTAACGTCGGTCCGCCCGTGTCGGTGAAAGTGTTCGGAGGAATATGAAGAGAAGAAATGTCGAGTGCGGCAAGCTTCGGAGGCCCTTGAAACGCAACAAGCTCACCGAGGGAATCTACGGAAGGTAAATCCTACGTCGCCGCCATATGTCTTCGCGTTTCGTGCGGCTAGTTTTAAAAATAACCAAAAAACCCGACCGGTCGCCGCCACGGATACTCCGTGGTAACCACCGGCCGGGAACTGTTGCCGATTTTCGCCCGATGGCGAGCGAGCTGCACGAGCAAGCCCGTGTGCGACGCGTCGTGTCAGCCAGCACGTCCGCCGCTTTCCAAAAGCTACGTATCAAACTGACGTTTCATCGAAACTTTGCCACTACGCGTGCTTGGTTTTTCGCGAAAAATGTTTCCGTTTGTTCATTCGCGTCGTTCGTAACTCGCCCTTTCGTCTCGTACCACATTTTTTTTCTCTCTTTCATCCGACGACACGACACAACTGAATGAACGATCCTTCCCCAACCTCAGTTCAGTTGACGAATTTTCGTTTATTCTCTCTTCAGCTATATTAACTATATTGTTGGCTTACATCATGCCAATTACATAATTCGAATTTATTATTTACTTTGCTTACTGGTATCAAAGCCGTCTGCTTTGTTGTTGCAGTGTTTGTTTGTTTCTTTTCTTATCTTTTTTTTTGTTTATTTTCATAGTATTTTTTACTGTACTACAGCTTTTTCACTGTTTTGAAGATTCAATCATGTGTATAAATGGTGGAATTTTTGGGTTTCAGTACTTTACTTTATCTGAAATTTCTTCTGCTATGGGCCATGGTAATTTTGGCAGACTTCATTTTAGAATTCCGATTTGAATTTTTGTGGCCATTCTGGCTACTTCTTAGAAGTGTTTACGATTCTTTTAAATACCAAGGCTTGGTAAGTAACGCACGTTTTGAAAGTATGTTTATCATTGTTGGAGTTTCAGAATAACCTAAACTATTATATTTTCCAGGCCTTCTCTGTATTTTTTATTTGTATCGCTCTTACATCAGATATGATTTGTTTCTTTTTCATACCAGTACATTGGTTGTTTTTTGCTGCCAGCACTTATGTTTGGGTACAATATGTTTGGCACACAGGTAAATATAAATATTTCATCTTGATAACATTTTAATTAATTTAATTCTGATGAGACTAATGTAATCACGTTGTACAGATAAAGGTGTGTGCTTACCAACTGTGATGTTATGGTTACTATTTCTATACATAGAAGCAGCGGTTCGATTAAGAGATTTGAGACACATGCCCTTTCATTTAGATCTCTGTCGACCATTTGCAGCGCATTGGTATATACTTTCTTCTAATTGTATACTCTCTTCTTCTTTTGTTTATAATTGAGATAACAACAAGTTCAAAAACTTAAAAATAATATAAAAAAAAGTAATGGTAAAAATAATTAAAAGTATTCCTTCTTTCAGCATTGGTTATCCCGTAGTTACGTTAGGTTTTGGCTTTAAGAGCTACATTGGCTACAGAATGAGACAGGTAAATCTGCAATAAATATAATAATTGTTTCTAGGGATTTTTATTATATCAGTCTTCTTTTCTTTGGTAGAGAAAGCAAAAAGATGTAGCAAAAGAGAATGAATTCTACCTACAACTATTGCAGCAAGCACTGCCTCTAGAGCAACAAACCTCTACTACGATACAACCAATACAAATTCAATCACAAACGCATATTACAACATTAGAACAACATGTTAAATCACAAAATAATAAAATAAATTCGCAGTGCAATCCAAGTCCTGAGAAAAGTAGAGGTAGTTTGTATTTATTTTCAACTTTCTTTGTATACATAGAAGTAAAGTATGATATAATTTAATAATAAAATGTATTGTAGGAAACAGTAATAATTCTGTAGAAACAAGTGTACAAAATGGTAGTGTACATATAAGTACACAAATTACATCAACAAACCAAAATGTAACGACAAAAAATAATCATAGAAAGTCCTTGGATAAAGGCGAAAAGCAAGAAGAGCAACACAATAAACATAATGTAACTAATGTATCACAATCTGACAAAAATGATAAAAGATTTATACATACAAATGGCAATACTGTTAATCACAGTGATATGCAGTTCATCGAAAGAGTTGGGTGAGTAACTGGACTGATTGTGTCTGTCAATAAAACGAGATACAAAAACTTGAAATGATATTTCAGTTTAAAATTTACCAAAAATAATTTGAAGTTGATATTAAAATAGCATAATTATTACAATGGTATAAGCATTTACTATTTACTATACAAACAAACTATAATAAATAATTAATTGAGTTACTTATTGTCATGTCTTGAATATGTTTTATCTACGTGATGTAATGTTAACTGAAAATTACAGATCTGTGAATGATTTTGATGCAAATGAAGTAGAAAAAGACAAATTTATTAAGGGTGCAAATTGTGGGCATACTGCAGTAAAATCACAGACTAATGGTTCTGTAACAGGAAAGTGGAACAATATAAAAGAAAATCGAGAATCGTCGTCCACAGTCAATACTCAACGTGAACGAAAAGCACGTCAAGTGAAAGCCGCAGTTGATAATATAACTGAACAGCAAAAGCAGCAAGATGAATATTGTCAAAGGTATGTTATTTATATCAATTAATGAGTTAACAAAAATCTTAGTTTAATATTATGTACGTTGAATGTTGTTATATACATTTATATTCTTCTTTTTAAATAATTTTTATAACTTTTTAAAACTGTAATTATTATTTCTACTCAAAATCAAAATATACGATTTGTATTATCAGGTTTTTCTTTAGTGTAATATAATATCGTTTAAATAGGTTACTGATGTGTCGCAGGCTCGAAGCTGACATAAAACGCCTGAAATCAGATCTACAATCCAGTCGACAACTGGAACAAGAACTTCGCTCCCAGATTAATTCTCTACAAAATGGAGAACGTCAAGCTAAGGGCGATATACAACAACTTCAGCACGATAATGATCAATTACAAAGCAAGTACGTATATAACGTCATTGCTATATTGTTAAAATTAATTCGTTTAAAATATTCGTTTTCTATTTATATTTATCATATTTTATATTTTTCTTTATTTCCTCCTTCCAATATATAAGCTGATATTTTGCACTATTAGTAATATTTTCATTTTAAACAGGTTACACGGATTAGTAACAGCTCGTCAATTAGACAAACAAACAATGTCCTCGTTGGAAAAACGAATCGCAGAGGAGCGGAAACAGCGCACTGCTTGCGAAGCATCTTTGGTTTCCGAAAGGCGAGCACGACGAGCTGCTGAAGAAGCACGATCTGCAATTCCGCCTCCACCTCCGCCACTTATTAGACAAGAATGTACAGATACTTGTAAAAGTCGTAGGACACAGATGGAACAAGATCTCAAAAATTTGCGCCGAGAATTTAAAACGAAAGAAGATAGGTAAGGGTATTAAAACAATAAAGAAATTTCTATATAAATACAATTTAAAATTTACGTGTTGGAAGTTATGACATAAATGTTGTCTGTATAAAACTAGGTAATAATTTAAAACAGCAAATGCATGTGTCAACAAGTAAATATATATTTGTAACATCACAAGTCAATGTTATAAACAGAAATAATCATACGTCAATATATTCAGTATTTCATTCGAACGCAAATAGATAAGGTTAAATTTCAATATGTCAACAATTAATCATTTTTCGTATTGTAAATTCGCTAAGTTTCTTGTTTCTCTCTAGGTGCAACACATTAGAAAAAGATATAACGCGTTGCAAGGAAAATCACAAAGAGTCTGAAATTTTACTCAGTGCATTGAACGCGCTACAAGATAAAACAGCGCATTTAGAAGACAGTCTGAGTGCAGAAACGCGTATAAAGCTCGATTTATTTTCTGCACTTGGTGAAGCCAAACGACAATTAGAGATCAGAGAAAGTAAGTGAGAATTCGTTTTACAATTATTAATCTCAGCACTTTTGATAATTACGAAAATATATAGACCTAGATTTTGGATCACAGTATCAATTTTTCAAACATACTTTTACATGAATATCTTTAAGATATATTGAATTGCAATATACTTGATATCGCGTATTTTATGTGTTGAATCAGGTTTAATTAGATCTCAAGAAAAGGAAATTGAAATGTTGAAAGCAAAAATAGCCCAAGATTTAGCTGTGATGCCACAAGACACGTTTGGACCTGCGCCAACCTGTGCGACATCTAAACTTCGGTTAAATAATGAAGTACGAGTTGCAGGTACAAAAATACGTTCAAATGAAAGTCCCTGTCCAGGGTGTACAGTGTCAAATTTGGATCCAAATGCGACAGCATATACACCCAAAAATTCCCTAATAGCGTCTACCGAAGCTTGAAAAAAAAGGAAAAAAAAAAACAATTTTTGCCACATTATGGCTCCACAAAAATTGGGTATATATTTCATAAACATGTTTCAGTCTGTTTCTCAGTGGAAGTTTAAATATAAACTTAAGTTTTATACGTGCATATACTTGCTTTGTTAAGGTCAAAGATTTACATTTAAAACATATATAGAACGAATGAAGTATCAAATCCTTTTTAATACTTATAGCGTAGAATATTTGTGTAACATTTGCTTAAAAAGCGTGGCTCGTGCTATATAAATTGTCAAATTTCGTAACAGGAGATATCATTTATACATGTCTTCCATGGGAGGCTTCTAGAAACATGTTTTATATCGTACTTGTCACCTGAAGTAATACAACGTTATTAACTACTTATGACCATGGGACGTGACTAATACTAAATTTAAAAAAGTATTTAATAATTAGTTACGTTCTATTAAAACGTGCTGTAGGTTGATCTAACAAGTACCTTTTTTTTAATTTTTTGGTACTTATAACAGATGTATTGAAGAAGCTTAAAACTAAAATGAAGTAACACAGTGACACGTCTATCTAGTTGTTATATAGATGGTTATTAAATTTTAAATTGAATTTAATATTTCTATTTAGATGGTAACGTTTGATAAATTTATTGTTGACATTAAACAGAAAAACTGTATATTTTACTAATTTTTTATAACGTTCGGATTATATCGATTTTCATGCAATACTTTCTATCAAAGGTATCGTAATGCAGATGTAAAAAGTTAAAAAAAAAATGATATGAATTGGATTGGCAAACGGCTAGCGGCACATCTTGTTTGTCAGAAAAAAATAGGAAAATTGAAAATTTAATCTGTTGATCTGATCCTCCTACAGCATATGCCTAAATTTATGACGACTTGTTATAGACACAAATCTTATTCAAGTCGTGATCCGAAGCTAGTCCAGCATACAAACTGTATTTAATGTCTTTGGCAAATGAAGCCATTTTAAGTCATGTGATCATCCAAAACCAGCCATTAATATACATTAAAAAACCTGCCGTTATCACTCGAGAGGATTGATCTAAATATATCAGAAACGCCAAATTCATTTTTGAGATAATTACCAACGTATTGATACTCTCTTTTCTCATTTCTCTACATTTTTTATATTTTTTAAATGTCTCTGTAAAACTTTTTAGTTTAGTGATACAATTGCGTATTGGCTTTCGAACGGTACAAAATAAGTGTTAACGTTAATAATGATTCTTTTTGAAACGTGTACAGCGTTTTATGTGATAGAAAGAAATTTTATTAAAGAAAAAAAAAATTTTTTTTTTAAGTTAAGGATATTAATTGGTAATGAAAGGGTAGATCTATAATTTACTTAACTTGTTTAACGAGCTTCAAGAGACAAACTAATGTGTAATGCCACGTGCGCGTTTATTTACTATGAATAAACTATTAAGTCGTACATTTAGGTGATCAAAGTTTAGGTTTCAAGTTAAAATTCAAATTTTTAATAGTATTATATTAACACTGGAATTATACGGTCTTTCACTGGAAGAATAAAACAAAAAGACTTTTCAAAAATTTATCTACAAACGTCTTCCTTTCGCATATTTGATGAATACATTCAATTTATACAATGTGTTCCTTTTGTAATGTTATAAGTTTCACTTTTACTGACTCTATTATCGTATAATTTAGTGACGGTTATCTTCGCTTACGCGTTTCTCTGTTTATATCGATTTTATACTATTTTTTTTATACATTTAATTTATAGGCTTAATGCTTGAAAGCATTAAATTCACTTTCTTTTTTATAACTCTTTTAAGGGTGTATTTAACATTGAACAGTGTGAATGTATGAGAATTATTAACGCTTGAATATTTACTAAGGAAATAATTACAATTACATTTCAAGTCTCTTTCGTTGATAAACTAGTAACATTAGAGTCTACATTCAGTATATTCCTTCCAAAGTACACGTAACAAGTTAATTATTTCGCATTAAAACAGTTAAGATGGAAGTTGTTTCAGAAGAAAAATGGCATTACGTATAAAAGATCTCTCTGAAAAAAAAAAAGAAAGGAAAAAGAAATATGAATTTCACGTACATTTCAAATCCGCAAGAAAGCCAGTACCTGCTTGCTTCAATGGAACATTAATTAACGACTGGTTGATATTATAAAAGTCATTCTTCCATGATTGTATATATAAAGCACTGTCATGACAATTTATTAATAATATAGTGGATCATGACCAACTAGTCAAATGAATTTCTATAAGCACAAATATTTATTAGATATCTAATATTCATTTGATATTTCTGTCCTTACATGGAAAAGCAATAATAATTACAATGTTTCTTCTCATTAAGTAGAATTAAAAGGATTTATCGATATTTTCGTCAAATTGTTAGGTTCATCGTTAATTAATTTCTTGTTACTTGGATGATCCACGTACTAAGTATAACTGCAGAATGTTGCATGCACAACATGCATACGTTACGGGTACTTTTCAATTTACACGATACTTGTATTCAAAGTGCGACTGCTTTTTATTTAAATTATTGATATGTAGATTACACTTTGAAAATTGAAAATTATCGTTTCATTTGTTTATAAAGCTGTCTTTACTTTATACTGAAAATGTGGAGAAGGATCATTTTTGCTTATAATAGATTAAAAGCATATCAATACAAAAGTCGTGTAACTCTGAGAAAACCTTCATCTTCTTTTTCTTCTTCTTTTTTTTTTTCTATTTCATTACACAAACAGTGCTGATACTTTTTTTTTTCATTTTTAAACCTGCATAAATTCAACAGTTTTTAAAATTCAATAATTCACTGATGTTGGCAATTAAACTATAGAGGGACAATATAGTTACTTTAATTTTATATTGATACATCTTTATACTAGGTTTATAAAGGAAACAATACAGTTTATTTTACACACATATTAGAATTCGTTATTCCATTTAACGATCATCATCTGACTGGTATGGAAATTTGTTTTATACTTAAAATTAATTCCTTTGTAGTTAAGATATCAATCAGACTTGTGTCTATGTTAACTTGTATCATTATGTGCATAAGCCCTTATAATGTAATTGAGGAACAGTGTAAATAATTACTTAAAAATAGACTAAACGCAAAGGGAAACTTACTGAAAATTGTTTGGGCACTTGCGTAGCATAGTCAAAGCACATGAAATTTGTTAGTTTAATTTATTTTAAATGAAAATTCTTTTAACTCATTTATGATTCCCATCTTTCTGGCTACAATCATTCTGAATCGGACGTAAAATTTAAAAAAAATGAAAATTACGTTGAGACTGGTCACTATTCGTTTCAAAATAGTAATGAAAATCAGTATATACTTATTTAAGAAGAAAAGAAAAACCACCATAAATGGATTAAAGCTATAATCTTATATCAAATAAAATATAGTAACTTGTAAATGAGGTAGAAGTCATCTATGATAATTCGTTGTTTAATTATTTGTATAAACGGAATATTGTGTAAATTAGATAAAAAAAAAGTTATTAAATTTTTACTAGTTACCATATTTTATCTAATATATAAATATTACACAGTTTAGTGTAATTGTGGACGGAAATTGGAATAATTAACTTTAAAATGTTAATTAACTTTTAAATATTAGAACATAAATGAGTTAATTCGATAAAGGTGTTAAAAGTGTGTTTTGCGTTGCAGTTACAAATGTTTCGAGAAACGAATGCTTTTTTTTTTCAAGGTATCGCATTGTCAAGTGCACGTTAAGTACCTGATCGGGGTGTGCCGTAATATTTTGCGGCTGATATACTTATCACGGATTTAATTCCGGTGTAAGGCTGGTTTCACGAATGAATATATACTCTTGCTATTTAATTAATTCATATTGTTTTTGTATTGAGTTAATGTGATATATTTTATAGGCGCGCGCGCACACACACACGCACACACACACACACACACACAACTCATGCTGTACATGTTCACTTAATTTTCTCATATATATAGCATATATATACACGTACATTTAACCGTTCGGTGGAGATCAGCGTAGCAATTGTATTTTACAATTCGTAAGAGACATCGTATCCCACTTTGTAGTGAAATCACAAGATTGTTTGAAGCGAGAACTAAGAGAACTTCTCTGTGACAATAACGACACATTGCTTTTTGTTATACATTTAATTTATGTATCTTCGTACGAAGTACGATGAATTTGTTACGAAAGTACCAATTTTTTTTCCCTGTTTGTTTTAAAAAAAAATTTTTTTTTTCTTTTTTAAATTTAAGAAGATACGTTCGATCCAGAATTGAAGTTAAACTTATTATAGAGTACTCTTATCGCGAGCAGTGGTTACAATACATTTTCATCTCTCCTACACGATTGTTATACGTGATGATTTTTTATCAGTATGATCGTAAATAATAAAATAACGTGAAATAAATCGACTAACAATGAAAACAACGTACGAGCAATCTAACACAAGGAAGATACATAATGTTACTTTATATTCCGACATATATATATGTATATATATGTATATGTATATATATG